ATAGTGATAGCCGTAGCTCCGCATAGACGCGGTCGCGAACGTCAACGCTAAGCCAGCGATACGTAACTCTCCGCTTTAGAGCCCAGATTCAACCTGTGGCTGTAAGACCGGTCTTAACCGAACGGTCTTGCTGGGTACCTTAGGCGGCTGTTACCAACCAGCGTCTTTGATCCTGCTAAAGTTCTAAGGGGGGCCTCTGCATTGGGCAGTATCCGTATACCTGGGCAAGTCGCGACTAGTAACCGATCGGAGGCATTTCGTTGCCGAAAAGTGACAACCAATAGGCCGAGGAGGCTGAGGTAGACCGTCACCGTCGCACTGCATCTGAGCTCAAAGTCCTCTGTGAAAGGACGCGGCCTAGAGTCGCGCACACTGCCACCATAGCACCCACACACCGCCTCCGATCTACTCGTAGCAGTCCACGAGTCCGCTCTCATCGTCCTCTCCGTCCATCCGATAAACTCCGCACTCCACGTTGTTGGGACGCACCTCGCCGGACAGTCAAACGACCACTTCGGTTCCGACATCGCCTAGTCCGAGAAATCCTCCAGTGAATGGACGCATCTGTATCCTTTGCTGTGTCCATCACCTTCGTCCAAATCCTTATCATCGTCGTCATCACCCCGATATTGGTGGTTCTAGTACGCCTAGGAGACGCAGCAGTTGACATCATCCGTCGATTCAAAGTTCACTACACACCAATAAGCGGATTCCAAATTCTCCCTCCATCTGACGACACAGGTGGTTGGGGCAATAACGGGGGCTGGGGTAACTAGTCACCACGTCTTCCACAGGACGATTCTCAGCTCGAGAATCATCGGATTCGTCAGACGACTCGGACTCATCGGATACAGACTGCGCTGGCCTTTGGCACGCGTGGAATAGAGGAAGTGTAGTACACCTTGACCCGGACATAAGACAGTGGTGCATCTGTGACAAACAACCGTGTCCAAATCAATCCCACTCAATCACACGGCAGAGAGGGAACACCTACCCAATCCCACCACACATATACCCATTACCAGACTCTCGAACACCGTCACCATCACCGTCACCATCACCGTCACCATCACCGCCACCAATCACCATGAGTAACCAAGGGACTGGTAATGCAGCAGCCAACCAGCCACCGGCGGCACCACAAGCCTTCACCTTGCAAGATGTAGCCACCATACTAGCCCAAGCCCTTTCTCGCAGTCAGACAGTCACACAGATCAATAAGAGAAAGGATATCACCCAGAAGCCGTCTGCCTACGATGGGGACCGCAACACGGCACGTTCCTTCATGGCGGCCTTTGAAATATGGGCCAGAGCCCAGGAGGAAGCGATGAGCGACCCTCAACCAGATGGCTCCTGGTTACCAAGACCGGTGGAGTGGATCATCACGGCATTGTCGTTCATGAAAGGACGAGCGGCTACATGGGCAGCCCCTTATCAGGAAGCCTATGCCAAAAAGGAACCCATCTTTGGCAACGATTGGGACACCTTCAAAACGGCTTTCCAAGAA